GTTGGCTGTGAGTGCACTACCGGAGGTTCTTGCGAGAGTTGCAGAGTGCTGCTGAGAGCAGGCAGTTGCTGAGTGAGGTTGGTGATCCCACTCTCGCCCCCCTCCCCCCCAACTTCGACTGGGAAGAAGGGGGAAACCTGACTCCTCAGGTGCGAGCGAATCTTGGGCCCTGGTCTTCATTTCTGAGCACTTGGAAGTTGAATTACTGGGATTAATTCTAAATACAACTCTGTCTCTAGTCTGTGAGTCTCAGAATGAAATGAAAAGAGAAGTTTCTGTGAATAAAGAGACATCAATAGGGTTAATGAGGAGAATCTCCTGGTTGGGGTGAAGGATGAGACGTCAGGCGTGCCACCTAGCGGGTCATGCACATACTAAAGCCTCCCTGGGACGGCTTACTTAGAAGCTCTTCATTGATGTGCATGGCAGCCCTACATCCAGGCCACTCACCGCGTGACGTGCCGGCTGGCCCATTACAGTATTATATTATTGTCTTCTCTGGATGCTGAGTGCATTGGAATCATTTTGCAAGGAATGAGCGCAATTGGACTAAAAATATGAATCAAATGGACATAAAAATATGCAGTCCCTTTAGTCGGGACTAATCCCCTCTCTTCTCTCCTAAAAGTGTCCTATATTCACGTTTCCTTGTGGCGGAAAGAATCGCCATCTGTCCTTCCGTCGATAAATGGAACCGTCATTCTCTTTTTATTTCTCCGGCAATAGGCACCAGGGCCTCTATTTCTCGATTTTGTCGCTTAGTGACTCAAATGCCCTCGCTGTGGCGTTTTTATCCCTAACGTTGCATTGCCAACAGGCCCAAATCTGGACAGTCTGGCTTTTCCAAGGGTCGCTTTCTGCCAGAAAATATGAAAATCCTATATGATACAATGCACCAATGAAACTTAGATGATGTGATGGCAATGAAATACATCACTGAGACTGGCCTAGAATAACATGCGTCAATACACCTCCTGAAGGAGCCGCCGAAATTGGTTAATTGGTTAATTGGTTGATTAAAATTTCTTCAAGGAGATCCCATTCAAGGGTATCAAATGCTTTCTCGAAGTCCATTGCCATCACATCTTCTAACCGACTTCGATGGAACTGGTGAATTTGGCGAAACTGCCCTTGTGGACGTGGTGCTGGCATTGCCTTAAAAACGAAAAATAAACGATTGAAGCAAGGGAGAGTGGATGGAGGGAAGCAGAAAAGGAAACTGGCCTGATCAGTGTAGTCGCTCTAGGCCTGAAAGGGTTAAAATATTTTCGGATGCCTATCCATTTTGGTGATATCTGAAAGGCGGGACTATTGATATAATAGAAAATGCCGTGCCACCTGCCCTCTATATCAACTCTGGCCAAGAAAATACGAGACTTAGCAAAGGAAGTGTATGAAAGTAAAACCAGATTTGCCTAAAACAGCTCGCCCGACGTGGGGCTCGAACCCACGACCCTGAGATTAAAAGCCTCATGCTCTACCGACTGAGCTAGCCGGGCTTCGACTATTGCATTATTATTCTCTTAAACTATAACATTAACATTGGAGAAAAATTAAGAATGGCTGTCAGCAGATTGCCATGTGCTGAGAAACTCTGGCTGGAATTATGGATGTGAGGAAGTTAGAAAATGTGAAAACACTCTTAGAAAAAGGGGAGCGATTTTTCTCAAAAAAGAGAGTAAAATAGCTAACTCCAGTTTCAACCCCCTTTCACTCTGGGAAAGGAACAAATTTACTCCATCATGAAGGAGTAAAATTGCACTCCTCCTCCGTGAGTAAAAACGCTTCCATCAGAAAGTGATAGGGATGTCCTGCAAATGCGAAAAATTCATTATACTGTATGTCGCTATATCTCTCGTACATGCGTTGACCTACCTCTGATTGTACTGATTACATCACACGTCAGAGGGTGGACCACCTCTTACTGGTTCCGTGGGTAGTCCGGGACCTCATTAATTGAGGTATGTCCTGGTAACAGAGCCAAAGCAACACCAGGTCACTTTTGCAAAATGGTTCCTCGAAAAGTTGAAGAACGGCAAATCGAGCACCTAACTTAGCACTGGTGATGAGAGGATGTACGATTTCGACACCTACACTAAGCAGTGTCCATGAAGTGGTTCGCCGAAGGTGCTCCCGCCCCAACAATGACCAGACGCAAGAGGTCGGCTGGGAAAACCGTGTTTGCCATCTTCTTCAACCAAGCCGGAATTGTGACCTCGGTGCCTTTGGAAGAGCATCGGACGGTGATATCGGAGTGGTATACAAATGTCTGTCTGTCAAAAGTTTTTGCTAACCTCCTCAGAGGTCGTCCCAAGACGGAGCTCCGCAGGCATTTCCTCCACCATGACCATGCCACGGCTCACAGGGCCCATCGCACGGAGGACTTTCTAGCTGCCGATCATGGGATTTAAGTTATCAACCTCGTTCGTGACGATTCTGCACGTGCATCGGTCGCCCTTCCCTTGCTACTGCATTGCATCCTTGAATTAGTGACTGGATCGCCTTCCCCACCTTGCTCTGGCCATGTACAATACCAGATACAAGGAGGGATGGTAAAATGAGATCTCAATAGTGGTGGGAGAGAAATGCACGCCCAGCGTGGGGCTCGAACCCACGACCCTGAGATTAAGAGTCTCATGCTCTACCGACTGAGATAGCCGGGCTATCTGTTTCAATAAAATCTACGGATTCGGTCACTACCAGATCACTACCAGAAGCGCTCCGTCCCTATTTTTTTTTAACTTCATGACTTAATACAAAAATAACAGGTTTTATCCGCCGCTTTTTTGTCTAACGCGTCAAGTGACATTCAAGATTTCCTTACCCTCGAATAATGGTCTCCAAATTTTTATAGCAGTACATAGTATAGTTCAAACCTAAAAAAAATCAGAAGTACTGTACCTTTGTTGTTGTTTGCAATGGGCTTAATTTTCCTGAAGAACTGACTGGTAAGTACCTCACAGTTATCTTGCTGGAAAAAGGGGGGGCGGGAATTTCCCTCTCCATGGCGGCCACCTGCAAGAACCGGTCGAATCTAGTAGGTCGCCCTTGTGAGCGTATTTACATAGATTTCACAGAACCATTAATTTTCGGATTTTTCCGGAAAAAGTGATAAAAAACAGCCAATAATCTACTTCGGCTCATTACAAATCGGAATCCACTGAAAAACGTTGATCAAAATGTGTCATTAGCCATAATTAGGCTTATGATTGCCTTTTTCGCACGCTTCGGCAATGACTTTGAGTCTTAGTTACGGCCCGTTTTATTAGCTGTTTTCTTTTCTTCAAAAAGTAGTCGCCGAAAGTTCTCAACTGTCTCTAGTTCGCCATTAATCAGCAAACCGCAGCTCCAGGTCAACTCATACATTGCAGGTAGGAGGCAATTTCGATCCACCTTTGTGCTGTTGCTAACATGCTACGCAATGGAATGCCGATACCTCTTTTCTCGTAATTGATTTTTGCTTGTTAGGCAACCTTTCAAACATGATAACTCGTTCAATATTTGAAGTATCTTGCAGATTTTACCGGCATACACTCTTAGAAAGTTCTGAGCGTTTGGGGAGTAAAAAGTGAGCACACTGTGAGCTTTTCGAGTTTACTCTCTTATTACTCACCAAATTCTCCCTCATCGCTCGTATTGAAGTGAACACCTTGAAGTTCTTCGCCAGGTCACTAGATGGAGGTAAGGGTCTCGCTTTTCGCACAGTACACAAAAGTTCCCTTCCCTCTTTCCCTGGAATAGTCCCTCGCATAATTGTTTGGTACCTTGCCATATGTCTCGCCTAGTCTCATTATAGGAATAAAAAAACACGGACACTTCATCATTTGTCATCCACATATACAAGACATATTCATAGAGTCCAGGCCATAAATAAGCTCATATTCCTATTGAGAACCCGTTTGGAACGTTTTTACTCACGGAGGAGGAGAGCAATTTTACTCCTTGGTGAGGGAGTAAATTCGCTCCTTTCCCAGAGTGAAAGGGAGGTGAAACTGGATTTAGCTATTTCACTCTCTTTTTTTTGAGAAAAATCGTTCCCCGTTTTCTAAGAGTGTAGGTCATTTATACCTACGTATATCGAGTGAATGATCGTGAAGTTTTGTAATGAGATAATTAGAAGAATTAGAATATTTATATGAATACAGAAATTGGCGTGGAAAAATATCGAAATTCGAAAACAGGATTTAAAAATTTTTTTTATGGGTAGTGGCAAATTTGGGTTCGAACAAGCACTGCTCCAACGTACGTGGAATAATGTCAGAAAATTTAATTCCAGTTGGCACTTTTTCCGGGAAATATGTTTGAAAATAGGGTTAATCTCCTGACCACGGCAGCCATATGGGATGCTAATTATGATTGGATGCTAATCCGTGAACAAGGATTTGGCAATGGACAGCCGCTAAACCACGAACAGGCACCAAATAAAAAATAGCGTGAAATCGTGGGCGGTTCACGTAACAGCCGACGCTGTGAAGTTAGGCTAAGACCATTCTGGCCCTGTATCACATGCGGTGGTCCCTTACAAGAACTTAAGTTCGGAAATGTTCACTGTACCGCGATGGGAGTCCTTGTAAAAGGATCGGTGAGAAGCAACAGCCAGAACGGCGACAAGAGGGGGAAACCCACGAACTCCAGCACAGGGAGGACAGGAATCCCAGTCACAACGCCCCCCTCTGGTTGCCCACTTCAAGTTACCAACTTGTGGAATTATCGTGCCGGCCAGAGAAGACAGTTATTTCCTTGAAGTTAGATCATAAAATGAGATATATCACAATCGATGAGCTTTTCTACATACCCCCTTACAGATAAGACCAGCCAGCGCCTGGCAGCCAACAAGAGCTCGGAAGCGATACACGTCACCCTTAAGCAGCAGGGCGCAATACACAAGCCAAAACTCTCTCCATCCGTATGACCTCCCTCATGTCGTCATCTCCGTTCTTTNACGGTGATATCGGAGTGGTATACAAATGTCTGTCTGTCAAAAGTTTTTGCTAACCTCCTCAGAGGTCGTCCCAAGACGGAGCTCCGCAGGCATTTCCTCCACCATGACCATGCCACGGCTCACAGGGTCCATCGCACGGAGGACTTTCTAGCTGCCGATCATGGGATTTAAGTTATCAACCTTGTTCGTGACGATTCTGCACGTGCATCGGTCGCCCTTCCCTTGCTGCTGCATTGCATCCTTGAATTAGTGACTGGATCGCCTTCCCCACCTTGCTCTGGCCATGTACAAGGCCAGATACAAGGAGGGATGGTAAAATTAGATCTCAATAGTGGTGGGAGAAAAATGCACGCCCAGCGTGGGGCTCGAACCACGACCCTAAGATTACGAGTCTCATGCTCTACCGACTGAGCTGGCCGGGCTATCTGTTGCAATAAAATCTATGGATTCGGACACCTTGATATCACGGCCAGAAGCGCTCCGTCCCTATTTTTTAGCTTCATGACTTAATATAAAAATAACAGGTTTTATCCGCCGCTTTTTTGTCTAACGCGTCAAGTGACATTCAAGATTTCCTCACCCTCGAATAATGGTCTCCAAATTTTTATAGCAGTACATAGTATAGTTCAAACCTAAAAAAAAATCATAAGTACTGTACCTTTGTTGTTGTTTACAATGTGCTTAATTTTCCTGAAGAACTGACTGGTAAGTACTTCACAGTTATCTTGCTGGAAAAAGGGGGGGCGGGAATTTCCCTCTCCATGGCGGCCACCTGCAAGAACCGGTCGAATCTAGTAAGTCCCCCTTGTGGGCGTATTTACATAGATTTCACAGAACCATTAATTTTCGGATTTTTCCGGGAAAAGTGATAAAAAAACAGCCAATAATCTACTTCGGCTCATTACAAATCGGAATCCACTGAAAAACGTTGATCAAAATGTGTCATTAGCCATAATTAGGCTTATGACTGCCTTTTTCGCACGCTCCGGCAATGACTTTGAGTCTTAGTTACGGCCCGTTTTATTTGCTGTTTTCTTTACTTCAAAAAGTAGTCGCCGAAAGTTCTCAACTGTCTCTGGTTCGCCATAAATCAGCAAACCGCAGCTCCAGGTCAACTCAAACAGTGCAGGTAGGAGCCAATTTCCATCCATCTTTGTGCTGTTGCTAACATGCAACGCAATGGAATGCCGATACCTCTTTTCTCGTAATTGATTTTTGCTTGTTAGGCAACCTTTCAAACATGATAACTCGTTCAACATTTGAAGTATCTAGCAGATTTTACCGGCATACACTCTTAGAAAGTTCTGAGAGTTTGGGGAGTAAAAAGTGAGCACACCGTGAGCTTTTCGAGTTTACTCTCTTATTACTCACCAAATTCTCCCTCTTCGCTCGTATTGAAGTGAACACCTTGAAGTTCTTCGCCAGGCCACTAGATGGAGGTAAGGGAGCCAATGGTGATTACATTCATGATTGAGATGTTTTTGCTTTTAAATAAACTGGGTTGTAATAATTGTTCATGAAATTCCGAGAACTTTCTTTCCAATCAGATATATCGAGCAGTGAGCTTCTCATCCACCCCATTCACCTAGAGGTAAATGTTCGAGAGGGTTCATCATCGATTAAAAAAGTCCATCCTCGTCCATTTTTTCATTTACGTACGTTCAACAATTGAGCGAACTCTTGTGGACATTTTTTTATTATCGGTTCATGCAGTCTCAATAGAATGACGGCTGATCGTCAACGCTAGGGAGGACGACGGATCGCCTTAACGTACTTGGTTCGAAGCGCTCGACCGTCTCGGTTGATGCATTCAATCTCCGAAAATAAAATGGCTGTCAACTTCATCACTTGTGTAGCTTGCACGAATTTTGCGAAATTTCAGATAATGGTGAACGAGTTTCGCTGTATAAATATATTTACATATATTTATTATTCGCTGTCGTGCTTGCAACTTTAAATATTGTGGATACACCGTGGTCTTCGAGTGAATTTACTCATGGTTCTTTGCTCCATTGCCTCGCTAGGGAACCTCCGGGGAACGTTTGGAAATTAATCAAAAGCCTATTTGTTGTGAAATGAAAGAAAGGTCAAAGGGAGCAAGGCTTGTATTCCAGGAAGAGAGAAACTGTTCCCTCTGTACCAGAAATGGATCAGTGGAGGGAATAAGGAAAATTATAAAAATATATTATAAAATTGGAAATCGTTTTTGAGGGTTGACTTGGGAACGCTGGAGGGTTTCGACAGACTTTCACAGCCAGAAAAAATTCCCTTGTAGAGATCGAGAAGAGATTGAGATTCTGGGATTCTGAAGAGCACGGAAGACACTTAGGGAATTTATAAAATTAGTTTTTTCTTGCCACGGCTCGAGGTGGGGAACGCTCCATGGTTCATTTTTTCATTCGTAGTATTTTTTTCCCCAAAATCATCCGAGCGAAAAAATACCGAACCCGCTACCACTGCCGCCGCTGCTACTGCTGCTGCTGCTGCTGCTGAGAACGACTGCGAAAAGATTGCCGCGCCCGTTACCTCCGCGGTAACCTTCGTACTCACGCCCGGTGTAAACGCCGCCGCCGCCGCCGCCGCTACTGTACCCGCCCCAGCCGCCGTAGGCACCGTCCCCATGCTTCTTCTCTGCAAAAGACACCGTCGGGTCAAATATTGCTTCCTCGATATATTATAGAGATTTAAGACAATATTTACATATTTTAACTCACGAGGGGTAATCGAAAAGTTCCGGAACTGACAATTTTTATGACGCTGTGGGCACTCCGACTGCCGAGGGACATATCCTTCAAATTAGTCCTCTTTTGTCTCGGCACAAATTTTCCGTCTTTCTTCAATCGCTGGAATAATTGCAGACACGCATCTTTTGGAATCACCAGCATCGCTCGTGGCACGTTCGCAACGCTGCAGTAAATGGCCTTACATTTCCTTCATTTTCCAGTTTCAGGGTTTCCGACCTTCCCCGCGATTCCCGTGCTTCATAAGCGATCCGACTCGCCGAACATAGCTTCTAGTAATTCCTTTTTGTTCCATAAGCTAAAGAGTGTGCTGAAATGAAGGTGACTTCAGTAATTCGAAGCCTAATTGCGAACGCGATGCGAGCACTGTTGGTGACTCCGAATGACAAGCGTCAGCAATATTTCCAACGTATGAAGAAACACCGGAAAGTTTGTGTAGATGCCGAAGAGGAATACTTTGAAGGATATAAAAATCAGTAGTGAAAAAGAGTCACCACAGCGTCGTAAAAAATTCAGTCCTTGGCACTTTTTGACCACCCCTCGTATTTTCACCAGGTCTGAGGTAAACTGATAAAAATTTTAGCTGTTCGAATTTCCTTCAGTCGTTATTGAAAATTTGAAAATTGACCTCTGGCAATTTTCTTGATTCTGGCTAATGTGTCAGAAACATCCATCAATATACATTTTCGACTTCATTTTCCAAGTCATACTTATTTTCAAGAGTTTCTTGACTTGAGGTGTCACAATGGCTTTTGTCTCTCTTTTGGTCCGCAAAGATGCCGGGCCTGGTTCCACGACTCCCGCTCCTTCCTCTTCCTTCGCCGCCCGTGTCAGGGCCATCAGTGTCCCAAGAACCAGGAGTACGATCTGGGAATTTAACGAAAAATTTCACACTTGTAATTTAATGCTTTGTATGAGAGGCATAACAATGGCAGCAAATATTTCCCGCAATGTTTGGAATAATCAAAATTTATGAAGAAAGGGAAGAATTCCACACTTTTCCTCCCAAAAGTGAGGAGAGTCATTGCCATCAGGAGAGTAAATGCTATCAGGAGAGTCACTCCTATCGAGTTTCAGATATCATTTCTTGTTCGAGAGTCATGGAATCCCAAATCCGAAAGTAAGAAGTATCAGGACGGTTAATGTCGTCATTGTACTTATGCAAAGAGCCTTGATTAGAATAGGAAAAAAAAAACAACATCCCCTGGGCACAATCAAACAAATTCACTGTATTTATCAAGAATTTCAACTTCGAACTCGGGGGGAAAACTCAAAAATAAAATTCTAAAAAGAAGTTCTTGAAAATGTCAATGTTCCTTTGATATAAGTAATATGTCCATATAATTAATATAGGTAATATATGCTAAAAATAAACAATAATTTTTAAATTGTCCATGAATATACCGTATAAGAAGAAATAAGTAAAGGAGTTGACTGATGGGAAAGGAGCAAGCACATATCCTTCAAGAACGATTTTTTCTTGCTATTTCACAAGTTCAGAATGAAATGCTTGCTGATGGGCGAAATTGGAGATGCTATTCTTCGGGAGAGGGAACATGGGGATTTTAGGAGCAACCATTACCATTTTATTTATCATAAGTAAAAAGGGAAGTCCAAGAACTTTTCTACACCCTCCCCCCCTCTCCCCCCCTTCTATACAGTATTATGATTTGAAGGTCATCTCGGGGGGAACTCAGAGCCTGAAAAGCCTTGAACCTCCAGATCCTCGCCTCATCTTAATGCATTCTGACGCCATTCTTCGTGTTCCCTTCCTCGACACCGCAACGGCCAAGGTCGACGTTTCGCAAGAGAGAAAGGCGGCGGCCAAATCCATTCGCATCCCTTTAGGCTAACAAATGCTTCTCAATAAGCTTTCGTCTGCCCTCGAGGGAGAACGATCTGCTTCATGCCTGACCGAAATTACGACAGCTCACGAGCACGGTGAACTTGACATCTATTTCGGTTCTCGATGACTTCCTGCAGATAAAAAAAAATATGCTGTTAATGACCCACAAAAGCGAGTTCGGCCTGTCGGACGCCTGTATTTCTGTTTTTCCGACTCACTCCCTATCGGAAGGCCGCATTTCACGAAAACCTCAACCGATTTATGTGACCTTGAAATGGCTGAACCGAATGAACCAAACTTTAATTTCGAACGAGTTTAGTGCTAACAAGAGCAACGCCAGAAAAGCCTTTCCCGTGCAACTTTGCGTCGGGAACGAAAGCTAGGAATTGCCCGGGACGAGAGGGAGGGCGTGGGGGCTGGGATGAAGTCTCATTTCCATTCGGGGAAAGCATTTCAGCCTATCGGCATCTCATGTTCTCCTGTCTCAGTCGCCCGTTTCCCAAGCAAGCAATTTCGCCCTTGGCCTGGGATATGAACTTAAAAAGAAATTAATTCCCGAAATTCATGCTGCTCTTCGAACTTTTGACAATACATGGGTCATTTCTTACGAAATCATCTAGTGTTACTATTTTTCTTTTATGGCACCCGACTATTTAGGATTTCACGATTAAATCCTTTAGCAGATGCAGTCAATGTGATAACCACGTAAAAAGAGAGAGAACCGGGTTCGTGAGATCTGCGGTTGACGAGATACCATCCCCTGAACTTCGGGGAAAACGGGAAAACCCCATGAAAAGGAAAATTTGCGTCTCAATAGCATTTGGGGGTGAAGGCTTGTAAAGGCTTGAACCAGAACCATTTTAAAGAATAAAAAAAAATTTCATTTCGCGAAACTAATTTCAGTAAATTTTTCACATAATTAAAATTTCAAAAAGAAAATTCTCCCCTCCTACTACATTAAAAGTTCGAAATCCGGAGATTCTCCCCGTGTATGATGCAATGGGACTGCAGTGATTCAACTTCTTTTTTTTTCCTTCCTGCAAGATGGATGGTTCTCTATTTTCAACGTCAAAACAATCAGCACGAAACATACTGATTATGAAGAAAATACATGACAGTATTACGATTTTTCTAAGTATCTCTCGTTTGAAGAGGCGGCAACTGTCTGCCCCTCACCCTTTCGTATCCGTCATCTTAAAAAATATAAATACGGTAAGTCACCAATTTTACAAGAAATTTAAATGCCAAATCTTACATTCATACATACATTGAAATGTTACATATTTTCAAAAGAAAAACAAAAATACCGTTAAGGTTGCAAGAAAAATGCGTACGTAAGCGTACGCATACGTAAACGTACATCGTACATTGTTACGCAATCGTACGTCAGTGGTAATATTGCCCGTGAGAATATGTGCGTACTAGTACGTCTCTGGATGGGCTGATTTCGCCTGCACTTACCTTGAGAGCTCGAGCCGTAAAACGCCAAACTTTGGCATTTTCTGGCGGTAAATTGTCCAATTATTTTACCGGAATAGGTCGCTATGGCAGCTGCTGTCGTAAGGGATGAAGAAAAAAAATAGAGCGAGCACCATACTCGCTATTTATGCCATGGTGTCGACGAGGAGAGATAAGAAAGTTGTGGTTCTATTAAATCCAACCGTTCGGGTGATGCTTAGGAAAAGAGAATTTTTTTAAAAGCATAATGTGTCCACGGGGAATCAAGACGGGAAATGAGAGAAACGAAGCAACCAAGCAATAGGTTGCTGTGGCAACCGTGAACGAATGGGTCATAACGGTTTAAAATGCATGCGATCGCATTGCCGGGTATACGATGTGCTGGGTTCTTTTTAGTAGTAGGGAAAATATTGTCGTAACTTAATAGAAATGTATCGTCCTTTTTTCGATGAATTTTTCGCTCTTTCTTGTTATTTATTTCTCACGATCTTGTTGCTGTTTGCTTTCTAGATCTTGTTGATGGCTGTATTTATTTACTGTTGAAGTGACTCATGGACTTGCCAAAAAGAACAGGGATTACACCACTGGCTCACTTATTCGGTAAACTTAATAATTGGCCTCCCCGAATTTCGTTGCCGAGAAGAAAAAAATCGAAAAACTTCTGTGGAAAAGAATCATTTATGTGAAAAATGCCGCAACATGGAAAATAAGTTATGTGCCAATGGGAGAAGATGGTCACATTTAAAGAATCAAGATAAAGATTTTTAAAGAAATTCCTCTAACTGCGAAGACTCCTCTTATTCCAGAATTATTGGAAGGTGGACTCACGAGTTTTGCGTTCATGCTGAGGGATTTGGGGGAGAGAGAGACCCGAGGGTTGCGTCCTGAGCAAAATCCGGAGCGGGACTGACCCCACGGGCAGCCCGGATGCGACCTTGGAAGGTCTCTCTGCTCTGAGGAGAAAACGAATCTCGATTGGCCTTCGGATGGTGTGGATGGTGCGGGGCGCAGCCTGCACTCTGGTTCGGGGGCGGCGCTTCTTCGGCACGAATTCCGTGAGGCATCGATGAGAAAATGCAGTTTAAATTAGGTCGCAGCTCCCATTTTCTTCCGTGAAATGCTCCGTTTTCATTAGCCGAAATGCAAAAAAAAGAATAGTGCTGTGATGCCAGTGGAACATTACTCATCGTATCTCAGCGATTTTACCCATACGATGCAAAGTGCTGGATGTTGGCTGAATTAAAAATCTTCCTTGGTTTCCTCTCGCTCGAATTGTCAAGCAGCTTACGATCGCTTCGACGTCGTTCTTGGCCGCCAATATTTCTAAGTAAATCCTTGATTTCAAAGGAAACTTAATCGTCGACAAACTTCGAAGACCGCGGTCGAGCTCGAAATTCTCGTGGACGTATTACATTCATTTCGCCCTGCCACGAAAGGCCGAAAATGGGATTTTTTATGTCGAAGCCGTGGGTCTCCGATTGCGATCCGCTTCTCATGGATGAAAACCGATTCTGGTTTGTTGAAACTACTATCACCACTCGCCCGTTCTCCCAATGTCAAGGCCATATTATGGGTAGGGGGGAGTGAAAGTGCGAGCGTCGTGGGGATCCTCAAAAACCGATTTGCTGCGTCATCAGGAGTAAGCTTTCCCTTTTCTGTAGGTTTTCTCAGTAGTGCCACTCTTTATAAACAAACACTCAAATTCTTTTCCCGCCAGCAATCAGCAATTTATAGTCAGTTAGTGAATATTTGATAACGTCCTCCAGATCTCCTGTATACATTACTTAATACTTTCTGATGTCAGACCCATCTTCGATATCTGGAAAAAGGGACTACTGAAATGTTGAAAAGGACCGTGCACCTTCTCCGGCCGTGGACAATACAATATGGAGCAAAGAAAGTGTTTGGTATGGGGCAAAACGGTATTCGCCCGACGTGGGGCTCGAACCCACGACCCTGAGATTAAAAGCCTCATGCTCTACCGACTGAGCTAGCCGGGCTTCCTGAAATACATAATATGAACCTAACTATAAATGAAGAAAAAGTTAGCTTGGCGCTGCCAATGTAAAATTGCTGTGTTGAAAAAGTCTGGCTGGAATTCTGGATTTGACAATCAATAGTTAGAGGAGGCACATTCCCTTTCCACCATGTTTCCAGTTTTATGTCTGTGTAACGGGCACGGGGCGCAGTGGGTTGGATTTATGAAAATATCAAATATTAATTAAGTTAAAATAAAAACTTTACCTTAACGCGCCCCGATTACACTACAATGAATTCCCTTCCAGGAAATCAAGTCCGTGCCAATTCTAATTCGAGCGGGAGTAACTAAGGCGTAAATAAAGAAAAGAAAACAAATGTATTTCTAAAAAAATCCTAATAATTAAAAAAGAAAATAAAAATGTTATCCAAACAACCGGTCCAACCCCTTTACAGTACTTTCAATGACACAGGGCTGATCTTCAATTCCAGATAAAACCTTGCAAGTTCTGGGGAAAACTCACGACCATCGAAGCGAAAAGTTCCTCTGACTATAACGTTTTTCCTCTGTATATTTTTTAGAGAGAAAGGTGGCCAGTTTCAGAGCACCCACGATCTAAAAGGGCCCGGGTACCCCGGTCAAATCGGTACTAACTCGAGTTCTTCGGGTTCGAGTTCGAGCTCTTCACTCACCTCGAAGTGAGAGATCGAGGGAGGGATCTTCAGTTGAAATCTTGCTGGATTGTAGGATAGGTTTTGGAGATTAGACTTGATTGGAGGGACTTTGATACCCGTTCATATAATGATGTTATGGCTCCTTGTACAGTGTTTGGGTAGCACATTCGAGAAGAAAAAATCCTGCATTTAAACTGTAAGGAGCCCTTCCACGGGTTGGCTGACCCCAAACACTGGGTTCACCTCCATATTCATGCATCTCCACGTGTTGATGGATGTTTTAGTTCACCTCCTTCAGCTTCCTCCCCGCCTTGACTCTCTACTGATACACTGGACGTTGCGCGGTCATAGGCTGGCAAACGTTACATCTGCAAAGAATGAATGACCCCACGTTACTTAAGAATTCTTGCATTGGTGACTATAGTCACCAATGACTAGAGGTATACCTCGCCTTCCCCAGCTTGCTCTGCCAGTTGAGGCAAAGAAGGATGGTAAAATGAGATCTGAATGGTCAGTGAGAAGAAAAGGCACTCCCAACGTGGGGCTCGAACCCACGACCCTGAGATTAAGAGTCTCATGCTCTACCGACTGAGCTAGCAGGGCTTACACTTCCTTGGTCCTAAAAATAACGGAATTAACATTGACTGTGGTATTAGAAATAAAAATAGGCACCGTGGTGAGAATTTTTTAGTGGAATACTTCACATAAACCAAAAACAAGTGCAACTAAGATGGAGTCGAGCGATCCAGATGAAATTTGGTACACAAGCTCGTAGTAGCACATGAGATCAATTAAAGATCCAGGTGTGTGGGATGACAATTCTCGGATCAAACTTGACTGGTAGTTCAATTTCTATAGCTGCATAATGGTCGCCAGAAATGGTCACCTGGAATGTTTTCAATGCGGAAACGTGGTAGGAAAGCTTCGAAAGATGTGCAGAACTTGTCAGCAAAGTTTCGAGGACGCGTGATAAGCCAATGCTGAGAGAAACTTAATTTTTCCTTTCCTCGAATCTGGGCCTTTGTTGCCAAGATTTGGTTGCCGAGTCCCAGTTTTCAAGGAAGCACGGGTTAAAACGGTATCAGCCATATTTTGAATGAGCGAAAAATTTAAACTAACATGCATTTAGGACGCTCAATGGATACTCAGAAATGCCATGAGGAAATAGTAAAAAATGACAAAAGTAAGTAAAATATAAAAGAAAACAGCGGAGAGTGAGTTGCGCTGAGTCGATGTGGCACCGCGAATGCTCCATCGAGTGACGACCCAGCGCTGCGGTCAGTCGACGTCGACTGGATCCACGGAATTCGTTGTGGGGCCGCCACAGGACCAAGTTCGCGGGAGCGACCATGGGACTGCTGGGCGAGGGAAGACGAGATCCATCGATCGTGTCAGGATCCCCGGCCGCAACAACCGAAGCCCCTTTCATGACATACTTGATTTCGGGACCGACATCTGCAGCTGCACTGCCTCCATCATCAGCGATCGGTGGATCGGGACTGCCGCGCATTGCGTCGTCGACAGTAACAAGTCAGCCGAGATTATTTATGGTCGTGCTTTCTAACTCGCTCCAATTTAGAAGCGGACTGACGATATGTGAAGCTTTCCCAGTTCTCCATGCGAGTCGATAAGGAAACGAGACGGGTTCAATGATTGAAAGTAACAAAAGAATCCCATGTTATTTTAGCTTCCCCTTTTCCTTTTCCATGCTATCAGCCTGGAATTTGCAAGGGTGAGCGATGTGCTTTGGACATTTCGGACATAGTACATCTTTCAGGGTTTTTCTGTCAAGTTTCAGCAGTGAAATTCTTCTACAGTAGGTGACCATTTCTGGTGACCATTATGCAGTAATAGAAATTGAACTATCTGACAAGTTTACTCCGAGGATATTCATCCCACGCACATGGATCTTTAATCGATCTCACAATGAGCTAGTACGAGCTTGATTACCAAATTTCATCTCGATCACTTCACTCCGTCTTGTTTGCACGTTTTTTTTGCGATGTCCAGTATTCCTATGAAAATTCTCACCACGGTGCTTTCTGCTGGCATAGCCAATTTCCATATTAAAACGCAAGTCGGCTATTTTTACATTCTTATACCATTGCCTACTACCATTACGTTACTACCATTATATTCATTATAGGGAAGATTAACTCAAAGCCCGGCTTGCTCAGTCGGTAGAACATGAGACTCTTTATCTTTGCGTGTTCGATCCCAACGATGGACTTGCCCTTTGCTTTTCAGTTCTCATTTTCCAAACCTTCTTTGCTTCATCAGGTATAGAGTGAGACCAGAGCCAGCTGGGGAAGGCGATTTGGTCAACAATTCTAAGGCAATATCCAGTCTTTTCATTCTTTGCATACCTACAACCGGGAACATGGAATCAATATTGATACCATAATGATTATTATTGGAAAATGTGTGTAAATGCCAGGGTAGCTCAGTTCGTAGAACGTGAGGCCTTTAACCTCAGGGTCGTGGGTTCGAGCCTCACGTCGTTGGAATTTCTTTTAGCGCCCTACGTGGCAAATCTCATTTTACTGTCATTCACGTTCTTTCCTCCATCTTATATTGTGCAAGGCACATTTCAATAATGAGCCCCTTTTTCAGATATCTAAGGACGTTCAGGCATCAGAGAATACTTGGAGAACGTGATCCGAAGAACGTTTTCAAATATTCACGAACTGCTGATCAACTGTTGATGTTTAACTGATGATGAAGTCTTGCGGGATCGGCTACATATCCTGAGAGAAAAATGGCGGCCCATGACTAAAAATAACAAGTAAGGTCTTCGTCGGAATTCACTGCTGTAGGCTAACCGATGTGCAATGTTTTAATTGGGAGATGACCCAAAGGCAATTCCAAGGCCTGCCATGCCATTAAGATATGTAACAGCATGACCGATTTAGCTGAGGGAAAGACAGAAAACACGATGCCAAATGGATTTTGAGATTTCCTTTCAAACTAGAAAGAAGATGCAAAATAACCTGCAAACAGAGAAATCCTTTAGTATTTCCGAAAGGGTACAATAAAAACATTGCGGCATTGTATTCATGAGGATCGCATGATCTCGCCATCGCACTTCTCGCAGCAGTTCACAGTTTCTTGACTGCCTCCGAAATTCACCATTGAGCGCTTTTCATACTCGGATAATCCTATCGACTCGGCACGAAAATGTTTCCCGCTTTACTAACGGAAGAGCCAGGCACCGATTCTGAAGCAGAAGCAATCACTAAAAGAATCAAGTTCAAGCATTGAAAAAGCAAGAAAGAGGAAAGCGCTGTCGCTCTTCCTCTACTGATGGAGCCTCTGCGCGAGTGGATGGCTGTTCGTTCCTTTACAAACACGTCAGCCTCCTTTGCAAGCTCTGTTTGCTCGAATCCTTTATTCCTGTCGACTTTCAGTGTCT